TTTATTTTTTTTTTTTTTTGGCCAGAAGCAGCCTATAAATATCATCATTTATCAAAGGTGAATGTCAATCAAATCGATTCATATTGTGTTAAATAGTGGATAAAAAGACATAAATATGACATAATCATATGCAATGTACGATGACAGATTATATAGTAGTATATAAAAAGAAAAAAAATCTTCATTGAATCCATTGATGGATACAATCATTTTATTTTATGTTTTTTTTCTCATTTGAACGATATAACCTGATAATTATACAACATACGTTATGCAGTAATTTAATTCAAAATTATTTAGTATTGAATATGTTGGTGTTTATGTGTGTTGGGTAAAACTTTGACCAACAATCGAAACGCATCAATAGCATCATATATGAATATATTGCAAAAATAAAGGCGTGTTTAATTCTGGTTTGGTTTCTGGCATTATGATGATAATGATCATCATCATAAAATGAGACAATAGGTGTGTGTTTATAGTAAATGTTGTAACTATTTGCTTGCTTTTGGCCAATTATAAAAATCGTTGATGCTTTTAAATTAGTTTTTCCATTCAAAAACACGCGCAATGAGAAATTTAATTTTTTTATTCAACAAACACATTTTTTCACTAAAATATTTATTGTCAAATTGAGCTTGTTTTTCTAAAAGTTAAAATTTCGATTTGGTTGGCCGATTGTTTGGTTGTCACTTTGATGATGATGGACAATTATCATAACCGGCTTCAGTTTACCTTTTCATATAATAATAACCCTACGTATTTGAAATTCTTGAATTCATTCAACTTTAGTATGCAATAAGTGTGTGTGTGTGTGTGTGTGATTTTCATTTCATAAATGAATGATTTAAAAGCAATGGGCTGGAAAGAAAGGGTTCGGTGTGCATCCATAGTGAACAATAATATAACGACGATTTGAAATGGCCTTATTTTCGACCATCAACAACAACATGAAAGACAGTGGAAGAAACAAAAAGAGAATATCATGGATATCTTGAATCAATCAAATAGAAAATACAAGATTTAGAATGAAAAAAAAACTTTGATTCGTATGTGGTAAAGCCAAAGAAATAAAATCCAATTTAAAAATGGTTAGATAGATGGAATACCGATCTAGATTAAGATGATAATGATTATGGCTGATGATCATCATCATTATTATTACCATTCTCCTGGTGTTTTTTTTTATTTTTGCTCATTATAATTATTATATATAGGAAGGTAACGCATTCCAATGATGTATGGATAGTATTGCATCAAAATGTTGCAATTGAGAATCATCATCATCACGGATATTAATTTGTTGTTGTTGTTGTTGTATAATTCATAATGTGGTAGTTGTTCACCATTATCAATATAGTATCCAATTGAATGAAAATTCAATAACAACAACAACAATGATATTTGACCAGACAAATTAAACAATTTCTAAATTTTTTCCAGTTTTCTAGCTACTGTGTATAATTTAGCAATTGATTATTGTTGTTATTGTTTATTTAAAATTCTATGAAAATCATTCTGAATGATGATTGGGATTTAAATCGATTATTTAAGGATTATCAAAATTTTTCCAATAGAATTTTGATGTTTAATCCATTTGATTTGAAATAAATAAAAATATCATTGACCTTGAATAGCATTAGGTTCGATTGATTAATATTCACCGATCAAGATCGATCTAATGATGATCATCTATATATTGGTAATTCAACAATGTTTATATCCACACACACAATTGTGGATCATCATGAATCATAATAATATTGAAGGGTATGTGGTGGTTATATCAACGTTTTTTCTTCTCATTTTATATGAAAAGTCATTTGTCAAAAGACGGATGCTTACGTTTTTTTTTGTTTTATTTCAATTTTATCTATTTCATTTCATTCATTCATTCATGTCAGAGAAATGGTTTTTATGGTTAAACCTTTTTCTTCTTTCTTTTTATTATTTTGTTTTGATAAATCATCATTTGAATTTTCATTTTTGATCATCATCATCATCAACAACAACATCAATTATCTGATGAATCTAAAGTTGAAATGATTTGGAAATTCGTTCATCATTTTTTGTATCAACAGTCATCCATATATATAAAACGATAATCATTAACTATTGACACATTGAACACAAAGGTAGCTGTTGTTTATTCATAACATTGTCGTTATTCGATTCATCTTTTTTCGTTCGATTAATGATTATTGGAAGAATAATCGAAAAATAATAATAATGAATGATCATCAACAATAATCAACCATTTGATTATTGAGACTCATGAATGAAAAAATAATGTATATCAGAATAGATGAATGAATCTATTTTCCAAGAAAAAAAAATTTCATTGACCACCACACAGTCTAATGATTTTTTGTACGTATAGATAAATTGTTTCTTTGATTTTGATGAATGAATGAATCAAAATAGAATTTTTCCCATGAGGAATCGTTTGCTCAATTCGATGTTTGTTTAGATCTGAAATGATGCAATACATTTGAATGAAAATTATCTTTTTCTGCTAAAAAAAAATAAAAATTCATTGAAAGGATTTTCAAAGAAGAATGAATTAAGAATCTCTAGAGAGAATAAGAAAAATATATTCATATCCGGATCTTATTTTCTTACTCTTTCATTCCAAACGAAGAGTTCTATATGATTAAAGTTTTGATCAGAATCAACAACCATATAAATTGAAAGGTATTTGTGTGAAATGTTGATGATGTTCATATCGTTTGAATTCTGAACTCATTCTTATCATCATCACTATCAACATTGGTTTGGTGATAAAACACACCATTACCATACAGAAAAATGAAAATGTAAAATTAATATATTCAGTTCAACTTGATTTGATGATTGCCATTTGAGGAAATCAATTTAACTTTTTTTTTCTCTCTCTCTTTCATTTTGGCCAGGTTTCTTCTTTTTGATTCATATTCAAATAATTATCAACTTAAGAATTTTTCGTTTTTGTTTACCTATGATGTGCTGTGGAAAGAAAATTTTTTTTCAAACACAATCATAAACACACAAACACACAGAGTTCATAGGTCGAACGCCCGAAATTCTATCTTATCGTATGTAGAAAATAATATTTATATACAAACCACTTTTTTATTTTTTGAAGATCAAGTGGAAAATATAAACCAATCAAACAAACAAACAAACAAACACATCATCATTGAACTAAATCATCAGTTTGGAAAAAAAACGAGAAAAAAATGAACAATTCTTCGCATCAGGTAAACCAAAAAAAAAATCGACCACTATTCACAGCCATCCATCCATCCCATCCATAATGATGTATGAGATTCACCATAAACCAACGCGATGTATTCGTGTGTTTGTGTGTGTGTATACATCGAATGTTTGTAAACAAATCATTAACATTTCAACAACAAAAACAAACGAAACGAATGAAAAATTCTTGCACACATATACACAATATGTATGGTGAAATGTCATTGAATTTTTTTTTTATATTTTGTGGTCACAAAAGAACTTTTATGATCAATTCTTTCGATGATGATGATGATGATGGCCTTTAGACTAGATGGCTACCATTTTTTGACGCTCTTGAAACTTGAAAAGAGAGAGAAAAAAAATGCAGATCTCCACTCGATCAACAATGATGATGATGATGAAGGTAAGAAGAATGGTAATTCAAAAAACAATATTATAAAACTGCAAATTTCAACAACAACAACAACAACAATAATAATAATAATAATCATAACAATCGAAAAATTGCGAGAAAGAAATGAAAAATGGAAAAATATTTGAAACAAACAATAGATTATTATATTGAATATATTTTGAGTGTGTGTTTATATTTGTTTATATATTCTCTTCATCATCTTGTGTGTGATTATCATCATCATCATCATCATCATCATCATCGATTTTCATCTATGGTATGGCATATAGAGATGATACCCCCCTCCATGTTGAATATGAATGAATGGAAAAGTCAACCTATCAAAAAAAAAGAAACGAATGGAATTTTTTGTTTTATGTTTTTGCTAAAAGACATTTGCCGATCTTTATATATATATTTTTTACCTTGTTTTCGATTGTCGATGTATATCTTGTTGTGTATTCGCTTAATCATCATCAATCAATTATTACGTTGGTAGAAGAAGAAGAAAAATTCGTCCATCATCATCATCATCAGCATTCGAACACCTCGAGGGAAATGAAAGGACCTGATAAAAAAAAAATTTTTTTCCTGATGTGATTAGCCTGATCAGATCATCATCGTATTGTATTATGTATTAAATTAGGAATTTAGAAAAGGTCTTGCGTGTAGTAGCAGTGGAAACCAAGGACCAAGTGTAATTTTTTTGTCCAGAAAAAATTTGTTTTGTTTTCTTACGTAGTAGCCGAGTCCCAATTTTTTCTGATATTTGTTTCACACACACACACAGTGAAGTCAAATGGACATAAATTTTATGGAGAAGATCACACTTGGTGGTGATGATGATGACATCAAAAATTCCAGCCAATCATTGATATTTATCAATGATGATGATGATAAGTTTCTAATTTCAAACATGAATAATATGAAAAAAATTTGTCAACCAAATTTGAATTTCAGAAATCAGAAAATTTTGAAATTTTCTTCACGCCACAATTCTCAAATGATCACTTGCCCATCAAGTTCTGGAATCTGGAATATCGTTATATTTCAAATGTCTCAATATATAATTCAACACTTGTCATCATCATTGTCACATATTATTCATTCAATTTCTTTTCACACTTTTTTTTCAATGATTCCCATAAAACATTTTAACAAATAATTCCTTAGATGTCAATTTATAAAAAGAATTTATTTATTTGGCACACAAACAAAATATACATAATAGATATCTAAAGAAGAAGAAGAATAAACATTTTGTATGTGTAAAAAATAACATTTTTAATAATTAAGAGAAAAAAAATGAAAAATCAAAGATGAATATTTGACCATATTAAATGAAAATAATTACATGAGAATTTTCAGAAATGAATGACAACAGACAGGCAATTTTTTTTGTTGATCATCATTATCATTAAGTAATTAATAAAAATAATCGTCGATATATCACAATCAAGTTTGCAAAATGTGGATAAATTTTTTTCTTACAAAAAAAAACAAATCAACGAAGATTCATACCAAATTGAATACGAAGCTGTTCATAGATAACAAATACAAGTACAGTATGTGGACCAACACGTATTAATGCCGGTACGAAACCTTTATAAAAACCACGTACACCTGAATTACGATATAGATCGATAACCTGTTTTTTGATCATTTGTCCTGTACATGTTTCACTTTGATTCATTATACGTGTTTTAAGTACATCCAATGGTTGTGTCAATATCGTACAAGTTATACTGGCAAACGTACTACTGATAACATGTGTTTGAATCTTATCACCGGCCATCGATGCTTTTGATACAAGCCAATATTTAAATTGATCATACATTGCTAATTGACCAATGGATACTAGAATTGATCGAGCCATTACCATTGATGAACCACGAAATAAAGCAGACGGTCCTTCTTTACGATAGATTTCTTTCAGGCCTTGTATGGCATTTCGATAGTTTCGTTTGAAACGTTCTTCAAGTTTGATATCATTTTGCATACGAACATTAACAACATCAGGTGGTGTACCAACTAAGCCACCGATCGCACCAGAAAAAGCAGCTATAATCATACGTTCATATAATGGTAATATTTGCTGTTCATGTGTAATAAGTTTCTGTTTTGTAGCTTCATAGATACCGAAACGAACAGTTGAATATGTTAATTGACGTAGAATCGAAGCTGTTAAACCATTATAAAGTGCAAGAAATCCATTCTTTTTGATTACTTGAATAGTGGCTGCCACTAATGTCTGTCGTCCGGCAAGTAATCCCGATGTTTGATAATAAACTTTCATCGTATCCAATGGATGTGTAATACAAGCAGCACCGGCCGATGCTATACCACCAAAATACCAACGTGGCACACGAGGCCCGGATGTATCTTTCGACACTGTTGATGATAATCGATCCTTTAATTCTAAAGACATGGATAAATTCATATCAATGTAGCAATAATGATGATTTAGATGAACACATAATGAACACATACGATGTACAATAACAATGACAACAATAATAACAACAACAACAATGACAATGACAATAACCACAGAGATGATGAGACTTACTTTTTTGCATCAACAATTGTTTCAATAGTTGTCGATTATGGAATAATTCAGCGGGTGCTTTTTCCATTTTTGTTTGATTGACGTTTCTGCTTTGTTCTATTTTTTTATTATTGTTGAATTCAAATTAGAGGTTTATGGATTGAAATTTTAAAAAAAATTTTTAGAAGAAACTTTTGCAATACAGGATTTGAGCCAATATCAATTGTAATAACAAATATGAATTTGATTTTATGAATGTAATGATGACGATGAGAGATTTTTTCTTATTATTGATAATCAATGATTTACAAATGAAAATCAGGACATTTATGATGAGCACAATAAAAGGCGTATATAGAAAAAAAAAATTTTAAACTCAGCTAGACATTTGTCTGGCTCATAGATATGAAAATACGTTGGTTACGTCAAAAAAATTGATTGCCATTAATAGTGGTAAGCATAAAAGATGATTACCCATTTTTATTTGTTTGATGATGATCAAATGATACTATATTTACTCAATGATTTGTTGTCGATAATGTTGTGACAAGTTGGCGTATTTAGGAAATTTTTCTGGATTAGATAAAAAAAATGGAAAATTGTTTTTCACTTTTTATATAGATGGATTCTAAGAATCATTCGATATGTTGTCATTTTGTTTTGAAAGTTTCAAATACATTTGAAGGGGAAATCTACATCAGTAGCGGTCACGTGGTGCATGTTGTCGAGGAAGAAAAATAAAGTTGTGTTTTGAATTGAAGCTTGCAAGCTATGACCTCAAAGCGTGATTCACTCAATGCTTTGTGAGACGTATCTGTTGATGCATGCAGAGAAAAACAGAAAAAAGAGAAAAACAGCTGTTATATGCCGTTCATAGAGTATTGTACGGCTCTGTGTGGAAAAAATTCTCTGTTCAAGTGGGTTTTACAAAACCAAAAAAATAAAAATAAAAATTCCAAAAACAAAAATTTTAACTAACATACCGAATAAAATAAATGACCTAGATAGCCGCCCATATAACATATAAAATAATGAATTACGATTGACTGAACCTGAAACCCGAGATAAACCACACATATAATGTATAGTTACAATGTTTTGGACAGAATATAGAATCCACTTGCAAAATAGAATAACAACACTTTTTGTTTTCCTGCAATGCGGATCGAATGGAAGAATAACAAGAAAAATTGTAATCACCATTATCATTACAGATGAATGACAATCCACATACAGAGATTGAGAAGGAGAAAAAAAACAAGATTGTTTTGTATGTTTGTTTGTTTGTTTGTTTGTCTATTTGTGCGAATAAAATTCGTAAATGAATCGTATAAAATGAAAATCGCATAACATTGCATGGTTTAATGATCATTATTTTGTGGATGTGCAAGTCTTTTATCATCAAATATCTTTTTTTTTTTTTTTCTTGAATCTTGAAAATTGTTTATTCTTTCATGAAGAGACCAATATACTTTTGTGTTGTTATCCAAATCCACATGGTAACAACATTCCAGTAAGCGATATTTGTATTGGTTAAATGATAAAAAATAAATGATTAAATCATTTCGACAAATAATATTTGCTATTTTGCTATGTCGGTGATTAGTGCGATAAACAAATTATATTTTTTTTTTTGCAAAAAAAAGAAAGCTCATCGTGTTATCAACAAACAACCTTCAAGTAAATCAATGTAAATCAGTGAAATGAAATGAAATTTTGATTAGATACATACAAAATCTTAATGTTTTCAATCAAAGAATGAATGATCATCATTGATGTAGTTTATCATTTGTTTTTATATTCAAGTTTGATATGGATAGTTATCCAAATGAATTTTTATTTTATTTCATTTTATCCATTCATGAAAAGAAAAAAATTCTTTGAAAATTCGGAAAAAAGAAGAATTGTCCTGTCAGCCTCCTTGCACACCATCGAATCTTCATCATCACCATCATCATCAACATAATCGAGATGAATATAAAAGACGTGATGATTTTCATAATGATTCTTTTCACACAAAAAAAAAAAAACACAATAGTCAGCCAAAACAAAATGAAATATAACAAACAAACCGATACAACAAAAAAACTCGAAGAATATTATAAAAAAATGTATATCACATTATTATTTACTATGTATCCACATTTGAGAAAAAAAAATATTCTAGTTTTGTTTTATTATTATCATAATAACTATATACTTCAGAACAAAACAAAAACAAAAACAAAATAGATAAATAGTCATTCCAAATTTTCATTTTCATTGAATATGGATGAAAATGATGATGATGATGAAATATAAACACACATAAAGATGAATGTCCAAAAAAAATGTTATTCAATACAAATTATCTAATATATGGGTGGAATATATAGATATTTTTTTTCATTTATTTCATTTCAAATGATATTATCACCCTATATGTGAACCGTTAAATAGCATCAAGAGTTGGAAATTACACATACAGACAAAAGCAAACATATAAAAACATATTCAGTCAATTTGAATTGCATTAGAATGGGGTTTGAGATGTGTTGAGATGGCTAGATTAATACTCAATGATGATGGTGATGATAATGGTAATAATAGGAAAAGCGAAAAAAATGAAATGAAATGACTGCATTCTAAAAATGATAAAAACCTAGAATTGTTAAGAATTGTAAAGTGGAAAATTCTTCTGAATTGATAAACAATAAAAAAAATTTTTTTTTTGGCAATGGCAACAGAAAAAAACGACAATGTCCGGCCGTTAGTGGAAAATTATACCGATATTCACATAAATATATAGTGCACTATGAGCAGGAAAATTTAATTAAACTTTTTTTTGTTTTGTTTACGGGAAATATTTTTTTTTCACCAAAAGAATAAAACAACAAAAAAATGAGAAAAATGTAAGAAAACCGAAACGAAACAAAAAGAATTTGGATCTCTCTCTCTCTCTCTCTCTCTCTCTCTCTCTCTCTCTCTTTCTGGGTATGGGGCGGTGTGGAAACAACATCACACACGCACAAATGAAAAAGCAAAAAGACCAAATTTATCTCTCGTATAAATCTATCTATATGGGTGTCTTTTAATTAAATTAGACACTATTCGGATTATATACAAACATAGAGACAATGTAGTCGTGGGAGAAAAAATTTTTCATATCATCATTCCTTGTTTTTAGGTTTTCATCATTTTGTATCATGACACATAGACACATACACACACACACATACACACACAAACAATGAACAATTTATCCATTTTATTTTCATTTTCATTCAACCAACCGCAGATATTGTATATACTAAACCACATCATCGTCATCATCAGCATGTGAGATAGTTAATTGGCAAAATGAAAATGGAACAAAGAAATATAAGACGAGAACGGATCCAAAACACATAGATAGATGGATGGATGCACAACAACCAAAAATGAATGAATGAAAAAAGGCCACTGACCGGACCGTTATTATCCGATTCTATCCGACCCATAGTTGTTATATGTTGTTACCCCCGGTAGTGGTATTTACTGAATTTTCTTCTCTCTTTTTTTTTTGTTCACAGATAATGTAACTTATGAATTTTTATTTATATATTTGTTGATGATCAAATTGTACAAACGAAACTTTTACTTTTACTTTTACTTGTTTATTTGCGATGCATCACACTATAATAAGTGTGAATAGCAGTGACTACAGAAAAAAAACGAAACTTGATTGTATGTTTATTGTTGTTGTGTTTGTGTTTATCTATTCCATATCGTAGCTATTAACAGGAAAAATAAGACGGGACAAGTTAATCCATATATGACTTGACTATTCTTTTATATGGGCAACATCACACAATATCCACAATTCGTTGAGGCTTATTACCATTCAACTGTATTATCATTATTATTATTATTACAATGCAATAAAAGAATTGAACTCAACTTCAAATCAATGACGATATAGGGGAAACGAAAAAAAAAAAATGAAAACCACAACCAATTTGTCGTTTTTTTGTGGTAGTAATTTTTTTTGTTGTTGTTGTTACACAATGTGCAATACAAAAAACATGCCGACCGGACTTATCATCACCGATCCAGCAATTGGAATTGGAATAAATACATAGTATTGGCCACAATAAATAAAAAACACATAGACACGTTCCGTAATCTTGAATCATCATGGTTGAATAACAAAACCCAAAATATAAAATCAAAAAAAAAAGAAAGAATAAACCAGAAAAAAAATCAAGTGAAGCATCAACAACAACAACAACAACAAAAAACATGGAGAAACCAATTTTCATTCATCTGATTCTATGTTTGCCAATATATTTTGTTGTTTCATTTATACGATTCCCGAACATAACAACAACAACAACAACAATACAAAACAGAATGAAACAGGAGAAAAAAAATATGGATTTGTTATCATTGGTTCATTTGTCCATTTTTTTTCTTCTATGGCAGCAGATTATGCATGGCATTCACAGCACATGCACAAACACAAAAAGATCAGAAAAAACCGAAAAAAAGATCTATGTCTACAATGTCAAGTATTGAAAAAGAGAAAATAATTAGAATTACAATCACAATGGTTAATACATCTTTTCCACTTTTATTTCTATTATATCTTTCCACATTCTAGAATGACTGACTAGCTTTTGATGATGATGATTCTCTATTACCGATTCTTGAGTGTTGATGTTCATATAGAAACAAACAAACAAACAAACAAAACATAGCGACAATAAAATACAGCAAATCTAAATGTGATCTGAATATATGCTACAAAAAACATAATGTATGTGTGATCGAAACGAGAAAAAAAACGTTGTTCCACGATGGGTCATTTCTATATCTCAAACATTCACTAAACATGTAGACCATGGACATGGGACACAAACATGTATAGAAAAAAATTCCTTTGATAAGGAAAAAATTGCATGTTTCAAGTTTCGTATACCGAATAATTCCTGCAATCAACAACAACAACCGAAAACAGCACAAACTATGAAATGTGAAACTTGCCAACGGTTTTTTTTCGATGGTTCATCATCATCATCTTTTTTTTTTGTTTTGCTATTTTATTTTTCTCTATCCATGTTTAGACGATGATGATGATGATGGTGTATATGGTCGAACAAATTTTTTTTCGTTTTTGTTAGTTGTTTGAATATTTTCAATATGCAGATTGCATATGTGTTGCTGGACATTCAATACATGGTCATCTCATATTCTTATCTACCAGAAACCATTCTACCAAATGTAGAATGAATGTATATTTTGCCTTCGCAACCAAAAAAAAACTTTTCTGGTTGTACAAAACAGATCTCACATATCTTGTTGTGCATCCTGTTTCATAAAGTCAAAAAGAACAGAATAAAGCGAAAATAATTTTCAATTTACTTGCAAATAACTGGGAAAGAGAATTAGAAATTCGTATTTTTTTTAATCATTTTAACCACCGAAAAAAAACAATGAAAAATAAAAATTAAAAGTATCGAAAAGAGAAATGAGAAAAAAAAATTCATTCATTTTTCACAGAATCCTCAATAGATAAATTCTTGCCGCCTGAGTTATTACTACTGTCCAAGCACACACACACCATTTATTATTATTAGCTTTTAGGGCTAGTTTCAGGCAGTAAAATTTATCCCAAATTCAAAATTGTTTGCTTTAGAATCCTTTTTTGTGTCCTACATTTTTATTCCGGAGCTGATAATCAGATTATTTCATGAAGAAAAAAGTTTTAAATGCAAATGAATAAAAAAAAACTTTGGAATACACACACACATCCCTATAGATTAATCTGGCAAACAAAATTTTTCCAAACTTTGTTTGCACATAGGGCTCGGTGGATGAAGTAGGGAGGATAATTAGTACTATCCTGAAG